ACATATTTTCAATTCCATTAGATTAAACATTCAATTTATATGGAATTGACTATCCTGGATATAAGATACTACCCTATTGAATATAATCAAAATCTTAAGAAAACTTAATTTGTTATTCTGTAACAGTAAATCCATTGTGATGTTCCTAATTTTTTATTGCTGCATTCAAACTAAAATTCATAAATTTATGTTTATTCAAATCTACCTTCATTTAAGCAAAATTTGATCTTATCTTGATATAAATTATAATATAATACTTTTTATGGAATCTTTAAAAATTAAGTATTTTTAGGCAGAGTCTGATTATTATAGTAATTTAGAATTTCTTCTAGATTTTCAATTTCAAATTAATCTCCTAATGTGAGACAAACTTATTATTCCTTATTAAATGAAGTATAGATCTTAGCATTCTTGAAATGATATTATACTGTATTCAAAAGATTCTAGAAATGTCTCCTTTAATAATTGATAAAATTTGATACTTTAATCCATATGCAATTCCTATAAGATACCAATTATCATCATTTATTTCATATACTACATCACTTTAACATAATTAACACAAATTAATTGTGTAATTATTTAAATCACATTCTTTAATCTCTTATTTAATAGCTTCAAATAGATCTTAAGATTATAAGGAAATCTTATTTTATTATTATTCTAGATATTAACAAACTTTTACTTTCAGTTAATTAAAAGAAATTTAAATCAGTATTCTTGACATGTTTAGAATTACTTCTTAATTGTTTTTACCCTTATCTTTATTCCTTCTCTACTTTTGAAAGAATTTATTAAAATGAAAATTCTGTATCTATTTATTAATTTAAGATTTAAATTTATGATTATTATTTTTATAACTGAATATAGTTATCTCCCTTAATTGGTATACTATCTACATTAACTTAATTATTCTATTTAGTGGACATCTTATATTTTTTTTTATTTAACAATTATTAATTTTATAATTCAATCAACTATTATTATTATTTTAAAATTTCTTATTGTTATTTTTATTATAATAATTTTTATTAATATTACTCTTCTTCTAATTTTCTTTATTTCTCCTCTCTTGCTTTTAATTTCTTTCTTTTTTTCTCTTTCTCCATTTACTCTTATTATTTCTTCTATGCCATAAATATCTCAAATTATTCTTCATTATAATCCATCTCAGTTTCCTCTACTTACAATAAACTATTTTATTATCTCTTTTGATGATTTAAAGTTGATTGATCTTACTTTTTTTCTAAATCAATATATTCAATTTTTATAGTGTCATCTATCTTCATATCCTATTGTAATAGAGAAAATGAGTGAATTTTGTTGGCTGAAAGCACATTTGTATTTTCCTCAACTTCTTATTAATTCACAATAGGTTATGATTCAATATTAATTTCATTTATAATTTATTATTCATTATTTTATGTATTAACATCTGAAGAGGAATGATAAACATCAAATTAAATTACTTCATTATCTTCATTCTCAGCTTCTTATTCATATTAATAAATATTTGATTAACTATCATCTACAGGGATTAAATTGGGAGTATCACTTTCTATATTTGAATTCTCTTATTATTATGTATATACTTAATTTTATGAATTATCTATATTCTCATTCTCATTATAGGATTCTATTTTCAATTCCTCTTAAGATGAATCATTATTAATTAAGTTTTCTATATTATCTTAATTAATTTCATTATCCGCCTAAAGTTACTATTATTCTTATTCTTTTACTTCATTTTCTTCTTCCTATAATTTTTGTTTAATATCTTATTCTTAAATTGATGAATTTTCAGGGTTTGGTAATTCTGGTATATAATTTTGATCAATTAAACCATCTTATTCTTAATTAATTAAGACTTATTCATTTGAAATTTCATCTATTGTAACATCTTTACTTATTTAGATTTAAGGTTCATATGAAATTTCTTCAGTTTATTATTCATTAATTGATAATGTGGGAACTGATTATTCAATCACTTATTCTTATTAATCATTTAGAATTTAAGAAGTGTAATCATTTTGATGAAACAGTTCACTACTTTATGAATAATTAGAATCATTCTATTCAGTTTTATCCTCATTTCTATGTTATAATCTTTCATATTCATCAATATTAAAACCGTTATCTAAAGCTTCATCTTATGATTAAATAGTATGATCTTCAAGTTTAATTTCTTTAGGCTCTATTTTATCTTATTAAATTGTTGTCTATTCCTCTACATTTTATTAATTTAGATTATCTTATTAAATATTTAAATCTTCTTATAATATCTCTTACTAAGGTTATACTTCCTAAATATCATTAATATCTTTATCCTTGATTTATGATTATACATCCTTTTCTTATTCAAAATCTTTTAATTCACTTTATTCTAATTCAATTTATTTTTTAACTTCTTCAATTTATTATTCTTCCTTTTATTTTTCATCATTTAACTATTTCTATTCTTCTTCCAATTCATTTAATTTTAACTCATCTTCTAACTTTTTTTATTCTAATTCTTATTTAATTCTTTCTTCTTCTTAAATCATTTCTTCTACTTCTTTTTTTTTTCTTAATTTTTCTGCTTCTTGTACTTCCTCAAGATAATTAGAAGTTTCTACATTATTTTCCATAACAAAACCTTATGACAATGTATTTTCCATTTAATCATAAATATTAATTTCTTAATTTGATTAATCAATAATTTATTTTTCATCTTAATCTTAATTATCTTATTCAGATTATTATTCATTTTATGATTGATTATCTAATTCTTATTACTAATCATCAGGTTATTTTACTTCAAATTACTATAGTTCTTAATCATCTTATTATATTTCTTAATTTATTTAATCATCATCAATTAATTTAGTTATTTAAGAATTTTCTTCTTATTCTTATTCATTATTATTAATATTATTATTATTATTATTATTATTATTATTATTATTATTATTATTATTATTATTATTATTATTATTATTATTATTATTATCATTTTCTTATTCCAAATTTTGAGGTGATGGATTAATTTATTCAACATTCTCTATTTCTTATTCGTTTTGATCTTATTCTTAGACTATACTATCTGATTAATCTGATTCAAAACTTGAAGATTCATTATCAATCTATGTTTATTATTGAATCTCAGACTAAGATTAAACTTATTCTTTTTATTATTCAGTATTTTCATCATTATTGCTAATATTTTCATCAGATATTATATACTCTTGATGAGATTCATCATGTTCTTATTCTAATTCTTATAAATTAGTTTCATCTTGAGATTATTTTAAATCATTTTCAGATTCTAAAGATTCTTTTTCATTGAGAAAATCAATATCTTACTCATTTACAACATCTATTTATTTAATTTCTATTTCTGCTTCTTATGTCAACCCTAACAATGTATCTTATCTCTCTTCTACAGATTTTTATATTTATTGTTAAGCTTCTTTTTCTTTTTTCTCTTCTGCCTTTTTATTTAAAAGTTTTCTTAAAGCATTTTCTTGTACTGGTTTTGTGTTTTACTCTTCTTATACAATTTCTTCTTTTGATTATTAAGTTTCCTATATTTCCTATATTTCCTTTGATTATTTCTATTTCTTGAATTCTTCAATCTTTTTCATTAAAGTTGTTTTGCCAACATTTTAATCAGTTTAATTAGTAAGTTATTCTTGGTTATTTACTTCTTATTTAATTTAAATTGCAGCTACAACTGATGGTTATTGAGCTTATTTCTTTTTCATTTCTAATTTTTCTCTCAAAGTCATTTTCTTTTCAATTGGTTGATTATTTTCAGATTTAGTTTCTATTTTAACTTCAACTTTAGGTTCTTCTTCTTTAATAAAATACTTTTTAAACTTTCCTAACTTTTCAGGATCAGTTTGAAGTTCCGTTTCTGCAATATTTTCAGTTTATGGTTCAAGTCCATCACTCAATTCTTGTAAATAGGATTGAATCTCTATTTCCTTATGCTCTGGTTCTACCATATTTATCTCATCCTCATCTTGAACTATCTCATGTTTACCAGATCGTACACTTTTATAAAATTCTCTAAAGGAAACTTCATTCTTAGTATCTTCTTCATCAATCTACAAGTAAGGCTTTTATTATTTTAATTATTCAGTGGCTTTCTTATATATTAAGTCTTCAGATCCTAAATCAGTTTCTTCATTGAATTTTGGTTGCATTTAATTTAGTAAGCTAAGTGCTTCAGATCTAATAATAGATGTAAAACATACCCTGCATAATTAATATAGATTAGCATACATAATAGTAGGCTTGTCCTAAGAGTATGCATTATACGTTTTATAATTATATAATATATTGATATCACAATAAAAACTATATTCATTCTACTAAATAAATTCGAGAACTCTAAATTGGAACCTTGAAAGTTGTTTAAAACTAGAAAAGTGTAAAAATATACAATATAAAAAATCAAAATTATCATCAAAACAATAACTTACAAATTAGATTACTTAATAATTAATAAATACTAGATGTTCAAGCTATTTGTAATTAGTACAATATTTCATAAGCTATACAATAGTACTTTATTATTAAAACTTATAATAAATTCAGTTTCTATTCAAGCAAATAGAAATAAACTAATGTAATTTAATATAGTAAAAACTTAAACCTAATTAATATTTCTATTTTTTGTTGAATGAAAATTTCATATTTCTGTCAGAGATAATTTATAAATTCAAATGAAAATATATCTACTCATTTAGAAATAGTATTATTAGAAAAAAAGTTATTATATAATAGAATATTATAAATTGAATAAAGTACAAAGATTATTGTTTTATTAATTAATATATTGAATAGGTAATACAAAATAATGATTTATTCATCAATTAGAAATTGAATTAATTAAGATTAGATAACCTTTAATTTATAATGTTCTAATAATTTAGTTAGAATTGCATAAAAATTGATTAAATTTATTTATAAAATAAAAATAAGAAAAGAAATATACATATATAGATATTAAATAATCATAATTCTTTTTTTGATCTAAATAATACTACATTACATTCAGAATTATCATCATCAATATTTTCATTATCTCTTTTTAATGAAATTAATTGAGGATTATCTTTTTTTGCATATGAGATTACTTTATACTTACTTTTAATTCCTTAATTTTTATTATTGGAGATATTATGATTTATTAAATCCATAAAATCATTTTGACTAGTTTAAAGATAGAGAATCTTTTCTTTAGATGGGAGATCAGTAGGTATTTCATTTTATTAATATTAATGATGTTTTTCTTGTTTCATTTTTTTATGTAAATGCTATGGTGAAACAAAGAAATTAGTATTCAATAAAATATCTCTTTAACTGTGATTCTTATTTTAAGTTTAATTTTATCTATAAGATTATTACTGTAATTGTTCTAAAGGGTTTGATAATTATTTTAGGATACCAGGTTAAAAAAGGACATTTTTTTATATATTAAGAGTGGGTCTTCTATTTTTGAAGTTAATGAAATGCTTATAAGTCTAACGATCAATTTTAGAATTGCCTTCAATTTCACAAATAACTTTTTTTTCTTTTTATTATGATCTATTTGTTAATGAATGATTTTGTATCTTTCTACTAGTAGATGGAAGTGTTTCCATTCTATATTTTATTGTTTTCAAATCAAACAATTTTTAATATTCATTTTTAGATCGATAATGCATTTTTTGTTTTATTTACTTAATATTTAATTTTAATATATTTAATTCTTTTGAATCATATCAAAAATTAATATAAATGATACCAATAATAGTCTAGTTAATAATCTTAATAAAATAAATAAATATATATATATATACATTCAAAGTGTATTAATTAATTATAGTAATTATTCTTTCCATTATTTCTTCTCATCTTCTGAAATCTTAATCAAAGAGAGTTCAAATTATTCAAATTACTATTTAATTTGTACTTCATTCTCAAATTGACTAGTTTCCAAATCTTCCTTAAAAATTTCAGTCTATTATTCTTATTATGAATGTTAGTTATTAGAAGATATGGATTATTTTTATAATTCCTTCTTTTATTCATTTTAATCCACAATTGTTCTATGGATCTGAATCGATAAACAATAAAAATTTTTACCTCAAAAATAAATTGATCATTTATTGCTGCAAACACATTAATATTCTCTTCAAATTCTTATATGAGTTTCTATAATTCAAATGATGAACATTCATTTTATTTAAAAAGTGACTAGACTTTTTTAATACTTTGATTAAGGATTTAGGCTTGGGATATAAACTTATAATAATAATGCAGAATATAATATATACCATTTCATATGGATCTGTGTGATGAGAACTTAAAGATGAATTTATATAGCCATAATTAGAGGATACATTAGTATATTTGTTATCCAAAGAGTCTTTATCTATTAATAATAAATTTAAAATACTGGAATTGCTATCTTTTAATTTGATTAATGTGGCTATATTAGTAATATTTTGTGGTTAATTGGAATTCATTTAATGGACTTGTATAAAGGTTTGTTTTTAAGATAATTAATACTCTATATGGGAATTAGATGTAGATACTTAGAATATTTTCATCTTTTTAAGATTGTCTAAGAGTTTCAATGGTTTAATCCAATAAACCTTTATATTATTATACTTCATTTTCTAATGACTTATTACTTGATAAGAGTTTCTAGAATCAGAAACGAAAATACTTGATGTTATATATTTAAGTTTTGAATGAATTCCAGGTTCTATTAATGTTCACTTTGATTATCTATGGTATTGGTGGAATGTATAATTTCAACATCATCATCTTCTAACATGTTGGTACTAATTTAAAATAATACACTAATAAATTTTATAAAGAAATATAAATATGTTATAACATCATACTATTTATTTTTTATATAAAAATGGTCTAAATGAGGGGCAAGATTTCGAATTAAAAAAATATAAAAGATTTATTAATTTATTAAATTAATCAATATAATCTCCATAATGAATAACATATTAAGTGATACTCTACCTTATTTGCCCAAGGATTTTCAAGGAACTGAAAATGAAGAAGGACAGTTAAGTGATTAATAAAAAGTGAAGTAATCCTATTTAAATATATCAAAGATTGGTGAATTTGGGCATGATGACTCCAATGAGTAACACTTTGACTTATGATTTTGAACAAATGACTTTGGACACTTCACCAAAGGAGAGTGAAATCAATAATAAATATTATGCAAATATTGACACCATAAATGAATAAGAAGAAAATAAATGCAAATTATAAGTAGATTTCATCATATATATATTAAGAAATATCAAAGTTTCAAGATAACAAAAGAATAAATTAGGAAATCTCCAAAGCATAAAACTTGCTAACCATAACAGACTGTACCATAATTAGAATTAGGAGAATAAAATTTAGAATGTCAAATAGATTAATAATCACCAGTCACCTCTTCAATGAATGCCCAGACATTGAAATTTATCAAAGAACTCTGGAATTCAGATAAGAGTGAAACTGAATACTTTAATGAGATGGTTGATTAGAAAATACCATATCTAAATTAACCTATCTATTCTCCTTTAATGGATTGTCATAGTCCCATATATGAACCTGATATTGAAATGGATTTATATATAACAAGTTTAGTGGTGAGATTTTAAATTCTATTTTAGGATTAAGTATGGGGTAATTAGATAGTCAGTAGGAAATTATAGAAAATGATAGAGTCAGGATCAAATGAGTAAAAGGAATTGATTGTATAGAAATTAGAAAGAGTTACACCTTAAGTAGAAAAGGACATATTCGGCAATTATGTTGTTTAAAAGATCTTTGAATGCAGTATAATAATAATAATTATATAGCCAATAATAAATTATAATAGAGGATGTTCAATAAATTAAAGCCTCATTTTTATGATTTATCTAAAAATACTTTCGGCTGTAGAGTAATGTAGAAATTGATCGAATATACTTATAATCGAAATGATTTATAAATCATAGTCTTGTAATAATTACAATCAAATATGCGATCTTTGATTTATGATTTAAATGGAAATTATGTGATTTTCAAAATGCTCGAAACCTTTGATAAATTAAAAATGGAATTTATGATACCTTTAATTGAAGAATCAGTATTTCATTTATATTATTATTTTTATAGTTCAATTATATGGGATAACAAATTTATGGTTGTAAAATTATTCACAAAATGATTTAACAATATTCTCAACAACAAATTGCTAAAATTATTAGATTATCTGTCTAAAATTACAATATCTTAAGTTAAACAGAATATGGAAATTATGTATTATAACATATTCTTTAATACTGGATCCCAAGTCAAGAGAAAACCTATTTAGTTCAATTAGTCTTACAACAGTTCTTTTAACTTAGCATTAATAAATATGCCAGGTATACTTATTATATAAAGTTATTAGTAATACTGTTGAACGAGCATTAGAGGCATTGGGAAAGCTAGAATTAATTTCTATTATGAAATGGCTACTTTGTAGAAGTCCTAATCAATAATAGTATATAATATTTATGATAATCTTATAGCACAAGCAATTTCGTTGTATTAGCTAATCATCAATATGCAAATTATGTAATCAAGAAATTCTTAGTGTTAAGTGATCATAATGTATTAAAATATATCTCAGATCACTTAAAATAAAATTAATATGAATAAACTGCAATTAAATCTACTGTTCATGGTAATTATTTACTTTAAATTTAGGTCAAAGAATAAATAGCTTCTTAGAAAAGCAAATTTAAAATTGACCTTGATTACCAAATATAGCCATTTTCAATGAATAAATATAAAGAATATATTATTATTATTTTCTATGAATTATTCTGTGTTAAATTGTTTTTATAGGAATAAAGTATTTTATTTATAGAAATATAGTATTTTACTACACAAAATACTAAATGTTTAATTTCCATTTATTATTATTCTTTATTTTATTAGAAATTTTAGGAGATGAGTTGCCAATATAAAAAACATTCTGATTATAAATACTAATATATATCTACTCTTTAAATAGTCAATTCAAATATATTAATTGCATTTAATTTTATGAAACTAAACATTATATTGTATGATATAGATAATGAAAATATTTTAATAGATTTTTAGCTTTATTTTGATGAATCAAAAATGTTATTGAAAGTGATTTTATCATAAAGGATAATACAATTCGAATATTAAAATCTAATAATTAATTAACTTTGGTTCTTCTTATTGAAAGTACTTATACAACTTGTAATTGATTGATGCATAAAATCCATCGCAATATTTGTAAATGTAATTCATATAACCATCTCTAATGAAATAATATAATTTTATATATCATTCTAAATAATTTCCTGTCTTGATATTATTGAGAATATGTAATTGATTAATAAACAATGTTTTTACAATTGATATTATCTGAATTTATTCTTATTTGGGAATATAATTTTATGTATAAATAAAATGATTATCTATAAGGATGGGATATCGAGTAATCTGTGGATTCTGAGGAAAGTGAAAAAAAATAAGTTACTCAAGTTTCAAACATTACAAAAACTTAACCATCTGATAGGTTAAGTTTTAAAAAGTTATTCTTAAAGAGTCCTCAACTTTCACCTATAAGAGTGAATCCTCCTAATCATTAAACAACTCCATTGAGGGAATCAATAAAATAAAAATTTGTGTTTGTCAATCAATTAATGAATAAGAAATATGAGATGAATAAAGGATGTGATGTTGATATTGAATAATCTCATCAAGTATTTAATGTAAAATTGTAATAACCAATAAATATTGCAAATTTACGAATAAAATTGAATGCCATTCCAAAATAACCATAACATACAAAAGCATATACTCAAAACTAATTGTAAGCAATGATGCAGTTGAAACGTAGAAACTTATATTTAAGATCAGTACTCAAAAAGGTATGTATCTTGAATATTAAAGGTTTGTCATGAAAGTGATGAACGATATTCAAATCATTAAAAAGCTTAATAGCAAGAAATATTTCTCGGTTATCGATATATAGATGAAGATCTATAGAAATTACAGAGTCCAAGTAATAGTATGAATCTCTAGTATGTTATTGTATATTATATTTAGATAGTAATCCCGTAAGAATAGTAACAGAAGACCTGTAAAGGTAAAGTAATAATTTTGAGCTTAATTAACTTTATTTTATATATAATTTTTTGATTAAAGATATTAAATAAATTATTTATTTGAAATGGTAAAGAAGGAGAAGGGAAAGCCTAACCCATTGGGTGAAGTAAGTAGAGATTACACCATTAATCTTCACAAGGGTGTTCATAAGGAAACATTTAAGAGAAAAGCCCCAAGAGCTGTCTCCTATATTATTAATTTTGGTATAAAAATGAATTGATTATTCAGCAAGAAAGAATATGCTTACAGAAGATGTCAGAATTGATCCATCTTTAAATGAAGCAGTTTGGGCTAGAGGAATCAGAAATCTTCCAAGAAGAATTAGAGTTAGATTACAAAGAAAGAAGAAGGAAGAGGATGATGGAAAAGGCAAATATTATACACTTGCTTAACATGTTCCTGTTGAATCATTTGATGGCTTAAAAACAGAAATCACCAAGTCATAATGATCACATTACAATATATTAATATTAAAATATAATAATCAGTTAATGCTAAATAAAAGTTCAAACTCATCTACCATTTGTCAACTATGTAAAATGACAGCTTAAAATCCGATCCAATTGATATGTTCACATTCAATGTGTATGAAATGTGGACTCAATATTTAAATATAAGAAAATACAAGGTATATCATTTCAATCTAAACAATAGTTAAATCTAAAATAAGTTTAGAATTTAATGTCCAAAATGTCGTAAATTGACACATACTTATGATATTAAGAATTTATTAATTGAAAATAATGAATTATATCTAATTACAGATTCAAGTGAAATGGAAAAAGAAATACTTAATGAAGTAAGTTTCATATTCAATCTAGAGTCAATTCTCACTCTAAAAGAATTAATAAGATGCTATCTTGGGAAGAAGATAATCAAATGCTTATTAAATTTAAGAATTATCTTAAACAAATAATAAGAATGTCTAAAAAATAGGTGAAATGTTTACTGTCTAAGCCACTCATAATAATCCATAAAATGCCTTTAATAATGCCTAATTTAATAAAAAGAAACCAAATTTAGGAAGTGAAAGAATATCTCCAAGTAAATAAATATAGAAACCAACCTAATCAAATCATTAAAAAAAGTAATCTTATTAAATCCCCTAATAAGAAGTTGCAATTGAATGTATTAAATTAAATATTTTAAAGGCAAGGCTAAAACCTAAGCTAATACATCAAATATTTAATAAAATAAAATTAATGATTTCTTTAAACCTAATTCCAATACTCCAGTTGCAACTCCAACAACTATTGCATCATAATTATTATTTCAATAAACTGATAATAAAAAACCTATTTAATAATAAGTCATTTAATAATAAACCATATATTAATAACAATAATAATAATATTAATAATAATTATAATAGTAAAGTAAAACAGATAAGGTATTTGAAACTAAATAATATTATCCTGAAGAAAAGAAATTATCTACTCCAAAATATAATGAAATCATTAAAGAAAAAGAGAATCAACTTTTAAAAGAAATTTCAAAAGATAGTTCTAATACATCCAAAGAAATATCAGATAACTCTAGACACAAAAGAAGTTCTACAGGTCTTATTTAAGAAACTGAAGAATAAGCCTCTGTTTAGATTATATAATCATACTTTAAGATGGTTTAGAAGAATGTTATGAAATTAGAAAAAGATGTAATTGCTGCAGTTAACAATAAATAAGTTGATCCTCAAAGTATTTATTAAAAACTCAAAATGTTAACAACAAGAATTAGTGATAATGAAGGTGAACTCATTTAATCCATTAAAGTTATGCAGAAATTACATTAAGAAATAATAGGACTTTCGACTCCATCCTAACATAGAAAAACTAGTTCTCATTAAAATACAAGTCATAGATATACTAATACAAGTAATTATGTGAAAAATATTGAAAAAAGTGATTAAAGTATTGGAGCCATGCCTTAAGAATTAAAAATATATAAAAAGTTTTTATGATTTATATTTATATAAGCATTCATATTATTCAAGAGTCTAATTTAAAATGTTTCAATTCACATGGATCATTTATTTCTATAGCAGCTTTTTATGATTATTTAATGAATTCTTTAACTGCTTTTTCATTCCTTCCTTATTTAAACAAACTCTATATTTAATATACTAATAATTACTTTAAGGTATAAATCTATTTAAACTTTACGTTTAAGTATGAATTATTAATCTAAATTCCCAAAAATTCGTTTCTCAGGAAACTTTTCCAATCGTTAAACTATCTATTTATTTAGTTTGGAATTCAAATCCTCTAACAAACTATACCTTGTTTAGAATATCCAATAAAGTGAACCATATATCACTTTTATTTAGTAGATAGTAAATTACTTTTCTATAGTTTTGTAATTTATAACCTCAACTTAAAATTCACAATTCTATAAATAAATATACAAATTTACTTATTGATCATATTGTTTACTATCTAAGTGTTTTTTTACTATTTATTTATTTTTTCTGTTTAGGAAGGCCATTATCGGTAAATCAGAATTTTTTTCATTCACTACTTAATAATTTTAATCGTATTATTTTTTTTGAGTTTAGTTAGCCATTTTTGATGGTTTATTTAAGAAGAGTCTTGAAAAAGTTAGACAGATCTAAACTTTTATTTATATTAATGAAATTTAAGCAAATTATTTTCTTAAAAAGCACTAAGTGATAAAATATATTAATTTTTATATTGATAAATTTATTAATTCATAATTTAAGTCTATATTTATATATAAATAAATTTAAGTGTTTTGAATTTGTAAGTTTATAATAATATATATGTATATATATATTAGATTACTTCATTTGTACTAAAGATTGTCTATCTTCTAATAGATTGTTTTTATTTCAACATTCTTTAAAATTAATGAATGTCATATGTTTGTTCATATTATAATTAATTATTAAATTAAATAAATTGAATAAAAATACTTAATAAATATATTAAATTATAAATAATTATAGAAGTATCCATTAGACTTTTGAAAAACTATAAATATTATGATAAATCCTTTTTTTTATTAAATCAATACAATATAATAATATTTAATTTGGTCTTTTTTAAATTGCAACATTGCAGGATATGATAGATACTTTGTATCAAATTAATATTTTAATTAATGCAATTCAACCTTCTTATTATAAATACAATAATTGTAATTAGCATCTTAAGGTTGAAAGTTGAAAATATTATTGAAATATTTCATTTTCATTTTTAATGTCTAAATTATTTACAATGTTATTTACTTTTGATAGGTGTTTTAGATCTAAATTTTAGTTTTTATTTAAGATTTCAATAGTTGAAATACTTTATAATAAAAATAACTATGCTTATTAAATATCATATAAACAATTTTGTTATTTTAAGTTCAATTAAGAAAAGAATTTGAATATTATATTAATTTTATGTATTTACTGTTAATGGTATGTTGTCTTCTGAATTATTCAAATATTGATAATATAATTATTATTATGATATATAAGAAGAAATAATTTAATAATTTGTTGATGTTTAATTGGAGAAAATAATAAATGAATATAAAATCTAGAATATAAATGTTTAGTAATATATATATGAGTAGTAAATATATATTGGTTATTTAATTGAATTTTATTGTTATAAACTTGATTGAAAATATTGTGCTCAAAATTAAATGTTGCACTTAAGAAAACTGCCTACGATATATAAAAATGATATGGAAAACTATTAGATTCGACGTTTTGAAAAAGCTACACATTTTAGAATGATTAATTAGAGTGTAACGAGTAAAAAGAAAATGAATTGCCTTCATCCTTAATTGTTAATGAGTGCTTAAAAAAAATTTTTTATTGAACTCACCTAATTAAATGAGAGAAAAGGGAAATATTTATTGTAAATGTTTGATTTTAAAGTAGATTCAAATATAATAAAAGAGGAAAGAGTTCATAGTCTAGTAGAGAAGGAACTTTGAATGCTTCAGCTTAATTAGTGATGGTTTCATTACCTTATTTTTGTTCGAATCACAATAGAAGAAAACTTATAATAAAGAAATGGAAATAGATAATATGGGGTGTACGAATAGTAATAAGATACAAATATATATTGAACAATCTTCAATTCTTTGAACTTCTTAATAGATTACCAAGAAGACGTAAAGTATCATCGCCCACATCAGTTTCTCGTAGTCCAAGAAAGAGACGTTTAGGAGTTCAATCAGTTGATAATAATTTTACTCTTGCAACAAAAGGATATGGTGATGAAACTAATTCTAGCAAAACATCTAGGAAATTGAAGAACTAATTATCAGATAAATATTTGAAATCTACCTACTATTAGGATTTCAAATAGAAAGACTAAAGATTAGACAGATTAAGAACTAATAGTTTAAACTAATTGCAAAATTCTTAATAAAGCTAAATAATATAAACTGCTAGAACCTAATCAGTGTTGATAAGAAAGTTCAGATTGAAAAAATTATGATTAAACTGTTATAATATACACAAGATCATTCAATTGGTGGCCATTTTGACTTTATGAGTTAATGATAAGCTTCTTATACAAAGTCAAGACATTCTTAAAGTAGAAATCTATTTTTTTAAATACATAATTACTATTTATCTTTAGACCATTTCTTAATTAAATCATTCTTATTTGTTATTTCATTAAACATAAGTGCTTTTATTATCTTTTATGAATATGGTTGCATATTTGATTCTCTAATATCTGATATTTTATATTTATAATATTTTTGGAGTATCTAATAAAATTATAATATCTATCCTGAATAAAGAGCTCTTGCAAATTTTGAATAGAATCCCAATTAATCTTTAGGGAATGGTATCTATTATAGAATATTAATAATAATAATTACTTCTATGTCTTCTAAAACCCAAGAATTTTCTATTACAGCACTTCCTTTACACATCATTCTATCATTTTTAGAATCATAATACTCACTATTTTCATAAATAGTAAGTTTTTTTAATTAATTAGATCGTGTATCTAAATCATATAAAATAGACTTATTTGGTACTTCAGTTAGATTTACCATATAAACTTTAGGAGTTGTGATTTATGAATGTTAATCTCCAAAAGTTAAAAGTTAACAATATGATATATATTCACAATTCTATTTTCCATAATAAATACTAGTTGGATGTATATAAACCTATTCATATTCTCTAGTTGTATAATAATAACGATTTATATTTTTTTCTTAATCTAATTTACATTATAATTTTGCTATTTTATGTAATCCATTTGTTTAAACTATTAATTCAGCTAATGTAAGTTGAGCTTCTCTTGATGGTTTTTAATACTATTTAATAGCAGAAACACATTGAGTTACTATTGTTTTGTCTTCCACTATTAAATTCAAAATTTCAAGAATTTATAATAAATTATAATAGATTTCTTTAAATGACTTACTAATAAAATGATATTACTATGCTAATTAATTAATTTAATATTAGATATCTTAATCATCTTTAATTTATGATATTGCTGTTCCAACAATATTCATTAAATAAATTAAATCACTTATTTTATATCCTTCACCATGCTTTTCTATAAAGGATTTTAAATTTTTATATGTTTAGAATTAATCTTTAATTTATTATTGTTATTCTTTTTATTCTTATTCTAATTATTTGATTTCATCTTATTCATTATCATTAGCTTAGATTTGAGTATGAACTTAAAATACTTATTTATTAATTATTTCTTCAACACTTAATATACATACCATTAAAACTCCATATTAAAGTAAATTCCTTATTCTTGTTTAAAGAAGGAATTTACCATATTTTGGACTTAATGGTATTTAAGATAATATAATACCTAATTATGTAATGTTTGAATTATCAGAATTAGTTTCTTATTTTATTTTCATGGCTCCCAATTTAATCAAATTAGTAAGACTTTCTTTTATTGCTTTAATATCTGGACTTGTTAAATATGGAAATTTATAAACATCTTTGATACCAATACTTTTCATTTATAAAATAACATGATCTAAACTAATTTAAGTGATTTCTGGATTATCAAATTTTTAAAATTAATTTGAATATACAGCAGTTGAATATAATCTATAACAATAACCAGGACCAGTTCTACCAGCTCTACCACTTCTTTAATCAGCAGCTGCTTAAGATATCCATCCTATCATATGTTTTTCTAATCCTATTTTAGTATCTGTTATTTTTCTTTTTTATTTACCAGCATCAACAACATATCGTATAGTTGGTATAGTTATTGATGTTTCTGCAACATTAGTAGCAATAACAAACATTCTTTTTTTAGTTGGATTATTATGAAATATAATTTATTAATTTTTAAGATCTAATTTAGAATATAATGGAACTACAACATAATCAGATAAATCTGTATCTATTTTAAATACATTATTTTATGTCATTTATACAGTTCCAACTAAATTTTTCAATTCTAAATAATCAGCCTTATCATCATTTTATTATTATTATTATTATTATTATTATTATTATTATTATTATTATTATTATTATTATTATTATTATTATTATTATTATTATTATTATTATTATTATTATTATTATTATTATTATTATTATTATTATTATTATTATTATTATTATTATTATTATTATTATTATTATTATTATTATTATTATTATTATTATTATTATTATTATTATTATTATTATTATTATTATTATTATTATTATTATTATTATTATTATTATTATTATTATTATTATTATTATTATTATTATTATTATTATTATTATTATTATTATTATTATTATTATTATTATTATTATTATTATTATTATTATTATTATTATTATTATTATTATTATTATTATTATTATTATTATTATTATTATTATTATTATTATTATTATTATTATTATTATTATTATTATTATTATTATTATTATTATTATTATTATTATTATTATTATTATTATTATTATTATTATTATTATTATTATTATTATTATTATTATTATTATTATTATTATTATTATTATTATTATTATTATTATTATTATTATTATTATTATTATTATTATTATTATTATTATTATTATTATTATTATTATTATTATTATTCTTCTTCATTTTCTTATTAATTTATTTATTATTAATTTTCTTCTTCACTATTTGAATATTCTTAATCTATATTTTATTTTCTAATTCCTTATCTTAATTTATCATTTAATATGCTACAACATTAATGGATCTCTTTCTATCCAGTCAAAAATACTAAAACATCTCCAGGAGGTAATGTCTAATGAATTTTAACACATTTTTCTATGGCTGCCTAAACGTAATCATCTTTAGTCCTACAATCATTACAGGTACTTACACTTTATTGAAATATATTTGTACTGGATATTAACGAGTTTATATTTTTATTAAATTTAGTGTTCTTGGAAATACTAATTTATTATTTAAGAAATCATCTAATCTTAATGTAGCACTCATAATAACTAATCTTAATGGTTTATTCATTTTTGCTCTTGCAATTACAACTCTTGATAATACTCCAATCAGTAAGTCTATATTTACTTTTCTTTCATGAGCTTCATCAATGATAATTACAGAATACTAAGGTACCATTACACTAGTTTACATTTCATTTATTAAGATACCATCAGTCATAAACTATAATTAAATATCAAATCTACTTTCATTTTCATTTTATCTACATCAATTCCACTACATTCATGTTTAACTTAATATGATATCTCTTTTCCCATAGTAAAACCAGTTTCATCTCTAACTCTTTATGCCAAAGAAATTGCTGCCAATCTTCTTGGTTGTGTAATTGCAATTGCACCAAATTCAGTGAATCCTGCTTCATATAAAAATTAAGGAATTTAAGTACTCTTACCACATCCTGTTTCTCCAGATATTAAAGTAATTAAATTGCCTTTAATTGCATCAATAATATCATTCTCTTATATTAAAATTGGTAATTAAGCTCTTTATTTAATAATATTTTCATCTCTATTTATTTATTAATTTTTAAATGAATTAATATCTGTAAGTAAACTATCATAATTTGTAATTGATTATGGATCAATATCATAAATATCATCTTTTTCAGGATCATATTCTGATATCAATTCTCTTGGTTATGCTTAAACTTATCCTTTAGGGATTCTTTTCTAATCAAATGACTCTAAACTAATATCTGGGAATAATTATTTAGCCATAATTTCTAATCGTTCTGCTTCAGACATTTTTTAATGAGACTCATGATGTTGAATTTATATTGGATTTTCATTCTCATATACAACAGTATCAAATATATTCACTTGTTATATATTATTATTTTCCTATTAAACTTCTTCTTTATTATCATTTATCACTTCTTCTTCTATTTGATTTCCTACAGAATGTTTGCGATCTCTTTTGCTACTTGTTGCATCCTTTATACTATTGAGTTAATTCATCTATTCTTATGTCAATTAAGATTTTGCCAATGTGGCCAACAATTATTGTCTCTTAGCTTCCTTTTCTTTCTTCTCTTAGATTTTCTTATCTTTCTTGTTCATATATTAAATTATTAAAAATGAACAATTCAATTGGCCAAAGAAATATTATACAAAATTATGCTTTAGATACTAGTTTCTATCGTGTTAAATAAAATCAATCAATACTTACTACTCGTCATTCCAAATTACCTTCATTTAATAACCCCATTCCAATTTCAACTCCTACATCTCCTAAAGAATAACAAAGTATGTGGAAAACAAATCTTTGTTTTCAAAATGATAATTCTTTCAGTCACAATAAAAAAAGACAAGAAAATTTCTCTAGTAATAAGAAGAGTGTCAGTCCTCAATTAAGATAATTACCTCGCAAATCATTTCAATTATAACTGGATTAGTAACCTAAACTTTTCTAAGCACCTAAATCATAAGAAAGACGAAGCTTTAGAAACTCTACTTATTCTAGACCTAATTCAAGACTTATTGAAGATCAGTACACTTTAAAAGTAGCATCTATGAATACTGAAATTGGAAGGGGCAATTTTAAATTTCATTATGTCCTAGGAAAAGGAGGATTTGGAAAGGTGTGGAGAGTAGAGATGATTAAAACACATAAACTATTTGCTATGAAAGAGATGAGTAAAGCAAAGTAAATCTAAATTTTGCTAAAAGGGTTTTGGCCAAAAAATCTGTCAATTCAGTTATGAATGAACGTATTCTTCTCTCACAACTTAAACATTCCTTTATAGCCAATATTCATTACTCCTTTTAAGATAGAGATAACTTGTATCTTGTACTTGATTTGTTAACTGGAGGCGATCTTAGATTTCATATTGGAAAAATGCGTAGGTTTTCAGAATAACATACTAGTATAAAACTTAAATTTAATTTTTATAGAGTTCTTAATTGCAAGTATGCTATTAGCTTTAGATTATCTACATAAAAATGGAATTATTCATAGAGATATCAAACCTGAAAATATTGTTCTTGATAAAAAAGGATATCCAAGATTAACAGATTTTGGAATTGCTAGAATAGTAAAACCAGAAAATTCCCAAGAAACTAGTGGAACTCCTGGTTATATGGGTATTTACATAATTTATTTATTATTAGCTCCAGAAGTTATGTTTAGATCGAATCACAGTTTTGGTGTTGATCATTTTGCATTAGGAGTAATGGCTTATGAATTTATGATGGGTAAAAGACCATATTTAGGAAAAACTCGTAGAGATATTAGAGATGCAATTATTGCAAAATAGATTTAACTTAAAAAATAAGATATTCCTCCTAATTGGTCCTGGGAAGCAGCTGATTTAATTAATCAATTATTATAAAGAAAACCATAAGCTCGTTTAGGGTATAATAGTATTGAAGAAATATAAAATCATCCATGGTTTTAAGGATTTCCATGGAAAGGATTACATGAGAAGTAGTTGCCATCTCCTTTCAAATTGACTAAATCATCAGATGAAGACTTCATTCGTGAGATTTCCTCTGATCATGATTCATAAGATGAATTGATATAGGAAAATATATTATTACTTAGATAAGAAACCATTTAAAATCTATTTGAAAATTATACATACTCAAAGGAACATCAAGTAACAATCAAGAGATTTTGATTAAAATATTGTACTTATTATCAATATTAATATAATAATGACAGTAAATTTTTGGATATTACATTTAAATTATAAATCTATAATATTTATCAAATAAAGTTTAATACTTAATAAGATTACATTTTTTTAAAGATTCAGCCAAATCCAAAAAAATAATAATAATTATCATTAGGATATTATATATTAACATTTAATAAAAATAATAAATAAAATTAACTAATATTATAGCGTTCATTTAATCGGTTTTTCATAATAACTATGTTTAAAATAAATTAATACCCAAATTCTGATGGTAATTTATATGCTCCAGGACCAGGAGATTCAACTCTAATTTTAGTTAGTTCTCTTTTTGCTCTTGTGAAAACAGTTGATTTTGTATCTGCAAATTTAGAACAATAATAAAGTCCTTTTGGATCAATATCTCCTGTATGTTGATATTATCCTGGTCCAGGAGTTAATTCATGAGCAGGAGAAAAACGAGAACTTTTAGCTTTAGGTGGTGAGAGAATGATTGCACCAGAACTATTAGCTTAAATTAAGAATTACTCTCTAAATTTACTAATTTTATATTTTCCATTTTCATTTAATGCTTCAGGTAAATTGTATTGTCCACTAATAATAGATAATAATAAAGATACGGTCCAGGTTTTCTATCTTTTTCCTTTTGACTCTCAGTTCTCATTCTCATTGAATATTTAATAGGAGATTTAGAATCTTAGAACTCATATTGTCCAGGACCTGGGGTTTTTTGAATTAAACCAAGAAAGATACCATCATATTTATTGCTTTTCTTTGGAATGTTTAAATGATGATGTATACATCTCTGCCTACTGGCATAGTCCAACCATTGCTTGCGTTGAGTGTAGTCTTAATTTAATAGTTATTTGGGCCTGGTGTAATACTTTCTTAGATCAAATCTGACTTTTATCCATATCCGATACCAGCTCCACGTTTACTCATCATGGTTGGAAGTGTGTAAATGTTTGGACATCTAGATATATGATTATGATAAATTACGCTGAATCCTTAAATTCTTTGAATCGATTAGCTTTTGGGAAAGAATAAAGTTATTTGGAAACAGAATGATTCAAAGGGGATTTGTTTATTTATTCAAACGATGTATTCATCTTAATTATTTTTATATTATTATATCTGTTATATCTCATACATCTTTTTCTTGTACTTATTATTATGTAGCTAATTTGGCTTGGTTACAGAAACATTCAAATTATTTCACTTATCTCTTTATTGTATCAAGTGATTTATCAACTTATATCTTTAGAGTGATCAAATTTTAAGGAACAGCAGCTCTCAACTTCTCAATTTTCTAAAATTATAAATATTAATTAATACATTGCAAAGACTGGCCAAATCATCAGTGATTGGGAACAAATAATCATAAAAGGTCTTACTGAAATCATTACTTTTCGTTTAAAAGATTTAAATAATGACTTCAAAGAATTTATCTTAATAAGGTTCCAAACTTAGGTAACGTCTTTCATTATTGAAACCGGCCATTGATTCTTACATCATTTTGACTGATTCTTTATCGTTTGGATCAATGAACTTTTACCAAAGAGCAGCTCTTTCTTATTCATTTGCAATAAGAGCTTAACATCTTAATTGTGCTCTTGAAGCTGCATCAGAAGTATCAAGTTACAACATCTTTTAAAGTATCTCTTTTCTCAAATCAGAATTTTCATCATATTTTTATGAAGCATAAACTAATTTAACAATTGCCCATTTGTTATCTTTTGTACATTCAATTTATGATAATTCTTAATTTTAACCTTAGAACCAAGCTAACAATTCATCGATACAGGAATTATCATATGCAAATGATGTTAAGTTGTTTCTCAATAGAATCATTCTATTTTCTAATTATGGATCTTTGCTAACTTTGACTAATTATTCTAGAAGGAATGCAAATACTCTTTTTCCAAGTGTCTTCTTGAATCTATAATAATTATATTAATAAATTACCTTCTTGGTGTCATGGATCCAATAGCAGCTTATAAGAACATTAATTGAGAATTCAAAATTTCATCTGAATTTTCTCTTGGTAATTAATTTAATAAGAAATCAACATATTCTTCTGAACATATTTTACCATCTCTTACACTATCAAAAAGAGCTCTGTAAATCAAAGTTCTTGTAAGAACATCATTAACTGCTTATAAATTTTAACTGAAATATTTAGTTGATTCTTAGTCAAGAAGTACTTTAACAAATGATTAATCTTCATAATTTAATAATATTGCTCTATATCCCTTACTACCATCATAAGTAATGACGTTTTCTTCAGTTGCTTTGAGTACAGCATCAATAGAATCAATACCATTATCATGGAATAATCCTATTTTAATTTTGTGAATTCTCAAAGTAGAGAATTAACTTAAAGCAGGTCTTTAATATATAGTTAATTTTGCTTAATGAGTTCTATCTGTTTAATCCCATTAAGGTTCAATTTCATTCATACCAGCAGTTTCAATCCATTATTATTTCCATTATGATAATGTAAATTCTGGATTATCAAATTTCTCTTATAAATGATCAATTAAATCTTATAAAACAGCATTCTTCCATCCAAATTTCCTAAAGTAATTTCCACATGCCTCTCCAAATTTAGCTGCTCCCATAATACACATTAATTATTTCATTACTGAAGCTCCTTTAGAATATGTAATTCCATCAAATATATTTTCTGCTACTTCAGTATTAATAACATCACCAGCAATTGGATGTGTAGTTACCATTTAATCTTCTCTATATCCCCATCCTTTTCTTTAATTGAACATAACAGGAATATTTGATAATTTGATTGATTCAATTTAAATATTTTCTAAACAAAAGTGAGAAATGAAATCTGCATAACTTTCATTTAACCATAAATCATTCCACCACTTCATTGTTACATAATCTCCAAACCAATGATGAGCCATTTCATGAGTAATTGTATTAGCAAATTATGTGTAACTAGTTGCTGGTTTCTTTTCTTTGAATACATAAAAATCATTAAATGTTACACATCCAGGATTTTCCATTGCACCCCAATTATATTCATTAACAAATAAAGAATCATATTTATTGAATTAATATTTGACTCCAAAGAAATCCTCATAAAATTTCATACTTTTCTTAGTGACTTCAAAAATAAAATCTTGAAGATTCATCATATGTTCTTTTAAACTTTCTCTGCAATAAATAGTCTATGGAACATCACCTACTTCTCCTTAAAATTTAATTGACCAATATTCACCTGCTACTAAAGCAAATAAATAAGTTGGTAATATTTTTGTCTCACCAAATACCCAAAAGTTGTATGAATCTGAATTCTCAAGATTTTAGAGTTGACTCTCTATAAATTCTTCAGGTTAATATGCCTTAATAATATTAGTAGCTTAAGCATAATTAAACTATCCATTTTGATCAGCATTTTCATTTGAAATAACTACCCATTCTTTAGGACATACTGCTGTGAATCTCAATTAAGCTTTCAAATCAGGTTGATCCATACAAGGGAAACTAATTTATTAAAATTCTTATACAATCTATTTGTGAAATAAGATTCACATTAACTATATAAATATTATTTTCCATCTTTATCAATGAATCCATGTAATCCACATCCATCTTTAGCATAATTTTAATCAAATTATATATTCACTCTATTCTTTTAAGATGTACTCAAATATTCTTTAGGTACTTTGATAAATAATCCATTCCAATCCAAATTATTAATCTTATTTCCATTGACAACCAATTTCACAACTTTTTTACCTCTAAAATCAACATACAAATCTGTCAAAGTATGTTTTGCTTCAAAATCCAATGTTACTAAACCACTATATGATTCACCTACACATTATCATTATTATATAAGTACCTCCTTTCAATAATAAATCCACTTTATATGAAATACTTCCTTATACAATTTGACCCCATCTTTAAATGGCTCCTGCTTAAGTTAAAAATCGATTCTATTCAAACTCATTTTAAGAAACAGGTGGATTTTGAGTGACAATTAAGCTAGATTTTCTGGCTTTATCATATTAATGATAACCCAAAACAACACCACTCAAACCCAATGCAACTATGATACCTATCTGGGCTGTCTTTGAATCTGCGAATTTCTTTAAAATTTACATATTTATTTTATATTTAAAAAGATATATATTAACATGATAGCACTTATCAGAGTAAGGATGACGTATTTCTTCATAGAGAAGTATAAATATGTACATTTTCATCATAAATATTATTTTATATAATTGTTACCAATTAATAAATTTTTGCATTTAAAATAATATTCTATAATTCATTTAGAAACTTCTCTAATGATAACTTTTTTATTCCATTAAATATATTATGTTTCTAATATTATCAATTTAATTAAAAATAAATCTAATATATGATATATATGTATAAAACAAATATTATAAGTTGAATACAAAACAATCATTTTTTAATTCTAAAAAATAATATATATCTAAAATAATAAAATTCTTATTCTTTTAATACTCTATAAAGTTATTTATAATATGATTAATTAAAAATATGGCAATATCTTAATTGTGATGTAATTAGTTATATTATTTATTTTATATAAAAAATGCAATAATTTTATGATACAGATCTATAAAGTGAACATCCACCATCAGATGTTTTTAGTGAAAAGGATATTCCTAAGGAAAAATTACATAAACAAAAAATGCTTTACAAAAAAGAATTTATTCACATCAAAAAGGAAGTCAGATAAAGAGGTCTTAGCTATGAAAAACCAGCATATTTTGATAAAGTAAAAATAGCAATGATTTAAATAACTGAAGAGGAATATAATAATGGAGATGAGAAATTAATTCTAGAAAATGCTAACATAGTGGAATAACACATTTTATCTCCATAAAATGATAGATGGATTGATAAAGCATTATAGTCTATGAAAAAATAAGAGATTAGTATTTTTATTCAAGAACATTTAAAGCATGATGAAAATTAAATGAAAATTTTGGATTATAAAGTGTATACTATAATAAAAATGATTGATTGGTAAATAATTGTTGATCTTTATTAAGATTAAACTTATTTAAAATATATTCAACAATTAGGCATAGGAGGAGATCGTTGTGAAATGCTTGATGAAATAATTTATGAAATAAAGATCTTTTAAGGAGATAATTTATTATATACAGATTCTTAAGATGGTCCATCCCCTATTAAATTATTAAAGTCAAAAGTTGTGTATTAAATTTTAAAGACAATGAAAAATAAAGAAAATTCATTATGTTAAATAAAAAATGATTCTTATTTGTAAAATGAGAATTAAGAATTCCTATAATCATTAAATTATGATAAAGATATTTAAGTAGATTGGAAAATCTAAATAAATGTGAAAACCTTATTTAAAATTGAAGATTTATATGGTGATGGAATTTTAATAAAAATTACAATGTATAGAAGTAGAAACACAGCAAAACCTGATAAAGTTTCATTAATAGATTTTGATATGTGGATTTATTCGATGTCTACAGATCCATATCCAAAGAAAGAAAATCTTTTATATTCATCTACAGATGAGGATCCAATCTATGATAGAATTGAAGCAAAAAAACATAATGATGAGGATGAAGAACCAAGTAAAGGTAGTTTATCATTATATATTGATGATCTAAAAGTATCTAAATTAATGAGACTAGCTCTATTAAGAATGAAAAAGAGGGAATTAAGTATAATTAAATGTTATGAAACAACGGATCTTATAAAAAATGGTATAGATTATGAGGGAATGAAAGGAATGATTGAAAAGGAACTCATTTATGTGATATATGTTCATACATTTAGTGAGGGTAAGAATAACTTTAGTATGACAATTGATGAAAAGATAGAATAAGCTATAAGGAAAAAATAAATAGGATTGAAATGGATTTCATAATAAAACTACAGAAAAGCTTTAAAAGTATTCAAAACAATTAATGCCTATTTTGATTATGGGACATTTACTGAAGATGATAAAGAGAAAATGAGAGAAGTATCTAAATTATATCTAATTAGTTTCAAATATCATCATTACTGAATTCTTCATTGTGTATGATGAAATTAAAGGAATGGAAAGACATGAGAATAGTATGTGAAAAACTATATAAATTAGATAGCAAAAATTAGAAAGTTATTTATAGATATTGTTATGCTTTGATGAATCTTTATGAATATGAAGAAGCATTATAAATAATTACAGAAGAGAATGAAGATTTAATTAAACTTAAAAAGGAAATTAAATAGCTATATTCTTAATATAAAAATAAGGAGAAATAAATGTATTAGAAATGGTTATCTTGAATGTATATTATGACATTTATAAATATATTAATATTAAACTGTTTAATCATTTATTTATATTATATTATATGATAGTTATTTTTAATTTATCTTATTATCTATTTATTTTAGGATTATATATACTGATTATTACCATTTAAATAAAATGTATAAGTTTAATTTTATCATTTAATTTTCAATTATAACTTAAACTAAAATGGCTATGTAATTAGATTAAAACTAATTATCTGAAGCAATTTAGAAATTAGAATTATTTTTTAGTTGTAGATAATTAGATGATTTAGACACAATGAGTGTAAGTGATCCATACATAGTTCTATTTTAAAAAACTAATTAAAATAATTGTAATCAAATTGTAGATAATTAATTAGGGAGTAAAATAGGATAAACAGAATTGATTTGGAATAATTTAAATCCAAATTTTGCAACATCAATTATAATAGAGTATTATTTTGAAATTCATCAATATCTTAAATTAGAAGTACATCATTATGTTAATGAAAATCAATCAAAAGTAATTAGAAATATAAAAACTTATAGATAATTGGAATTGCAGAAACTTCTCTTGCAGCCATAGCAGGAGCAAAAGATCAAATTTTAATGGCAGATCTGTTTAGTCTTTAAGGAAAAAAAAGTGGAAAAATTATTGTTAAGGCTGATTAAGTTAAACAATGTAATGATGATTTAGAAATCACTGTTTCTGGTTAAAATTTACCAGATACCAGAATTTGGTTTTGGCATGGTGCTTGTCCATTCTTAAGATTTTATAGATTAAGAAAAGATGATAGTAATCCAATTTTAGTTTATGAATCTGAATTCGTGAAGGACTCTTCAAATCCTACTTGGAAAACTATTAAATGTAAAGCATAAAAGCTTTGTAATGGAGATTATTAAATGCCAATAAAAGTAGAACTTTGGGATCATAGAACATCAGGTAAACATCTATATCTTGGAGAAACTACATTCTTCATTGATGAATTGAGAGAATCATTTACATAGAATAAACCTTAAAAAAAAGAATTTAGAAATAAATAAAAAAATAATTCTCCAGCAGGTACAATAACTTTTGAAAAATTCAATCTTAAATCCAAATATACTTTTTTAGATTATTGTTAAGGAGGATAATAATTGAATTTAATACTTGGTATTGATTTTACTGCTTCAAATGGTGATCCTAAAGAAAAAAACTCATTGCATTATATTTAATAAGATGAAAATTCTAGTTAATATTTATAAGCAATAACAAGTGTAGTTGAAATTTTAATAAATTATGATCATGACAAAAAAGTACCAGTATATGGTTTTGGGTGTCAACCATCATTCAATTTAATCAATACAAATGAAACATTACATCTCTTTCCTCTAAATGATAATCCAGAGGATCCAGAGTAAAATTGTATATATATTAATTTAGAGTATATGGATTAGATGGGATTGTATAATGTTATAGAAATGCCATTTAACATATGTAATTAGATGGACCAACTTATTTCCATCCTGTAATATAAAAAGCAATGGAAATGGCTTTAGAAAGTAAACTTAAAGGAAGCAAAAACTATTTGATATTAATGATATTAACAGATGGATAAACTGATGATTTATAAGCTTCAATAGATGATGTTATTGAGTCATCTCATTTACCATTATCAATAATCATTGTAGGAATAGGAAATGCAAATTTCAAAAAGATGGCCATACTCGATAATGATGACAATAGTATGGTTAATAGTAAAGGTTAAAAGGCTGTAAGAGATTTAGTTTAATTTGTTCCATTCAATCAATTTAAATATGATTCATCTCTATTATCAAGAGAAGTTTTGGCTGAATTACCTAATTAATTGGTAGAATATATGGAACTAATGAAAATTCCTCCATAACCACCTAAATGTAAATAGGGTCTTTATTTAAATTAGATTAAAAAAATCAAATGCTATATTAATAAACATAGTAAACCCAGTAGTAACCTGGATTCACAAATCAAAATTTTGTATAAGGATTTCCCTAGTAAGGTTTTTGAAATAACTTTGTCAAACAAACATAATTGTCTATCAGTTATCCTTAATAATGATAGATAATTTATATTAATATATGAATTCTTCTTAAAAAAAAAGATAGTTATATTAGTTATTTAATGTTTTAATAAAATAATGTTATAAAATAATATTGATGAGAATGAAGCAAGTCTGTTATTCAAATTTATTTTAATTGGAGATGTTGGTATTTATAATACACTATATCTTTATAGCTGTTGGTAAGACATCACTGCTTAAGTAATTTGTTGAGAAGAGGTTTTGTGATGACTATAATTTGACTATTGGAGTTGAATTCAATATCAAATATATTTAAGTGAATGATCATGTCATTAAATTGCAGATGTGGGATACAGTAAAAAGATCCTTAATGAAAAGTCTGGACAAGAGAATTTCAAAAGTGTGACACGTTTGTATTACAGAGCAGCAGCTGGAGCTATCATGGTTTTTGACATTACAAGACGAGAGACTTTTGAAAACATTCGTAATTGGCATCGTGAGGCTCTTGACAATGGCAATAGTAGAATGAAATTTCTACTTATTGGCAATAAGACTGACCTTCAAAATCATAGAGAAGTAGAATCTTATGAAGCTGCCCAATATGCTAAAGAAAATGAATGTCTCTATACTGAATGTTCAGCTTTGTAAGGATCTAATGTGGAAAATGCATTCATGGAATTGGCACATCAAATTTATTAAATGGCCATGGAGGATCCAAATATAGTGAATGAATAATATGGTATCAAGTATGTAAACAATGCCAACAGTTCCATGTCAACAAGCAAAATTGTAAGTCAAAATGCGATGCCAAAGAAATAGTTATAAAAGGTATTCAAGTAACAGAACTAATAGATAAATAATCCAAATACAGAAGAATTTATTGAATATTATGGGGAATAGAATTAAAACAATCAAAAAAAGGCTTAATGTAATAATTGTTGTGCAGATATATGAATATACTAAAAAAAAGAATACTCATATATGCATATAGAAGATTTATTTATTTATATATATTTACAATAATATTTATATTAAACCTATACTCTCTGATGATCAACGATAATAGAAACCCAGCATTCTTTTAACAACCAAATCAAAATCAATATAATATCATACTACCCAATAGTAATTAACCAGTTATTGGTTAAAGATAAGCATATCCTATTTAACAAACAAACTAACCAATTATTTAACAGCCATTACAATTCTAACAATAATTTCCACTTCCACCTTAAGTTAATTATGTACCTTAAACTATATAATCAAAACCTAATGTTTTACCTACTGTCTATTAAGAGAAACCAACACAAGTCATAAATATGGATGGTAACAATCTAAATTATTTCCAATAGAAATTGAAGCACCATGGAGATTAAAGTGTGCTACTTTAGAAAGATAAATTTTAGAATTGCAAATTCAATTGAGAAAAGGACCAGGACCTACTGAACCAGATGCTATTGAAGTTATTGATGATACTAGATTAAGAGAATTAGAATCAAAGAAGGCTTAATTACAATAGATGATATAGGATAGAGATAGAGAGATTTCTGAATTGGAAAATCAAATTCATTAATAATAAGAATCAATTGAAATATAAATCTAAGAAAGAACAGTCCATTACTCAAATGAAATTGAAACTTGGTAGAAGAGATTCTAACAATTAGAAAGAGATTATTAATAATCATAAAGATAATTATAAGATTTATAAGAAGAATAAAAGAGATTAGAGAAATAAAATTAAGATGTTCATACATCTTAATAAAGAGTAGGATAAAGTAGAAATTATTGAATAATAATATATTGATATATAAAAACATAAGTATATATAAATCAAATAACATCATCATCCTCATGATCTATTAATCTTTAAGATCTATAAGATTAATTTTGACTTAACAATTTGTTACTATATCTACTTTAACGTAATGATGTATTTCTCATTTCAGAATGTTTCTCAACAATCATTTCTTTCATATTTTAGTTTAACTATTTAACTTAATTACTTAAATCCTTATTCTCTTTTCTTAATTTTACTATTCTCTTTTCTAAGACTATATCATTTCCATCCATTTATTCTAATTAATTCTTTAAATTCTGATTTTCTAATTATAGTGATTTCTTTTCATGTTATAATGAATTAATTTAAGCAGTTAATTTATTGAACTTTGATTCTAAATCATCTAATTATTTATCACTAAGTTCAACTACTTTTTCAATCATAAACTCATTTTTTTTTGCCTCAGATTATTTATCATCCAATAATTATTTTAATTTCTAATTCTCTTATAAAATACGATCATATTCAATATTAGTTTATTCCAATTATTATATTGCATTGTTTAATTATAGTGATAATTATTTAATCTAAAAATATCTAATAATTATATTACCTCATAATCTGTTTATTTTAATTAATTATTTAACTAATAATTTTGTTATCTAATTTTTTCTTATTCATATGCATCATATGAACCTCCAATTCTTTCTGTAGTTTCACTATGCACTCTACCCAATTATGTCTCTAATTGTTTTGAGATACCATATAATTAATCATTTTCTGTCTCTAATTTAACTCTTTCAATCTTCATCTGTCCATTCTCTTATTCAAATTATTTCAATTGAGTTTTATATTTCTTTAATTTCTCCTTATATTTTTATAAATATTTTTCCTTATCTTATTTTAATTATTGGTTTTCTGTTTCCAATTTAACCTTTAATCTAGTAAATCTCTATTCAATTTAATTTATATCTCTAATAGCCTCTTCTTATTTTAATTTGTGATTATTTACAGTTTCACATAATTCCTTATTCTTTTATTTCTCTTCTTCAATTCTCTTGGATTATTCTTCAATCACTTTGTTTAATGTTTTAGTATTTTCATCATTGGCCTACAATTATTAATCTCTATTCTTAATCTCTATAGCAAAATAATTTAATTCTTAATATAATTATTTATTGCGTTCTTATTCTTACTAGATTAAATTTATAAATTCATCTTCTCTCTTTTCATAATGTTTCATATTTTTTAATTCTTGTTCTTTAATCTTTTCAATATCATTTTCTAAAACTCGTATTTTTTATTTTTATAATTAGGATTCCTCATTACCATATCTCAATTATTGATTCAATTATGCTAATGCTTCATTCAATTCTTCTTGATTTTATTCATAAATGTTCTCTTTTTATTTTGCTTAAGTAAATAACTAATGTTCTGCTTCCATCTTCTTTTTATTATCATCCATATGTTATTCCAATTATTAAATTAAAAGATCTCTCTATCTTATTGAATCTTCTTATTAATAAGCCTTGTTCTGCAATCGTGAATTCTCTTCATATAGATTCTTTAATTCCTTTTCAAACCTTTAGACTCTAATATATTAATCTAGAATTACTTATAATCCTCCATTACTTCCTTTTCTTTCAAAAGATCTTTAAGTTCTTAGAATTACTTAGAGAAATTGGCTTCTTGTCTACTAGGTTATCTCTCCATTATTGTACTGTTCATTTTGGATTAATGTAAAACTGTTTAATCTAATCCAGGTTTTATGTTTTGATCAGATCCAAATCTCATGATTTAATCAGATACACCTGGCTTCACAATTCTAGATGGCTAATCAAATTTTTCATCAATAGATTCCTTTGATCCAAATTATTAAATTAAATTGTCTCTTCCCAACTAAGATTTTGATTTAATTGATTGATTATCCAACTATGATAAAGCTATTCTTTATGTTGAAGGCTTTATTGTTTATCTCAAATCTTCTGCAAACTATAAAGTCATGTAAGCAGTGATATGGTCTTATTATACTTATGAAACACAAAATAAAACAGTTATATTATTGAATTTAGTTTCTCTCAAAGAAAGATATAATTACAATAAAGATTTGCTTTCCAACTCTTTTTCTTAAAAATCTTGTAAAGATACAAGTAATTATTTCAATTTTGCTTGAAAATCTTTAGCTTCTTAGGTAACTCTTCTCAAATCATTGAAGAGAATTAAATGTAATTAAGCTACTTCTTGTTTATCCTACTCAATTAAATATTTGACAAAAATATGATTGTTTTTTGTATCAGGATGCTCTTTAACATATTATTTATATTAGAATAAACTTTAATTAAGCATTTTTTTGAATTCACTTGCACTCTTAACTTATGAAAATTTGACAGTTTAACTTCTAGATGACCCAATCAAATCAATAACCTCAATGTTATTTACCAAAGATATAGAGATGTTTAATTTTCCTTTTCCTCTTAATTATTTTGAACTCTCTATTAAATTGAATATGTTTTCTACTATCATAACAGCTAAACCCTTCTCTTAACCTCTTTCTTCACCTTTGAGAGTGTATTTCTTGCCACTTTTAGGTCCTCCAACTATAAGAAATAAACCTGATTAACCAGTTATCAAATTGTTAACTTTAGTTGCCATCACTTAATCATAAACCAATTATTGATTAGCCTTTTCTCCAAATACCTAATCAAATTAAAAGAGATCAGAATTCTCAATAATAGATTATCTTTGTTTCATAATGTCTGAATCATTCTTTAAATACTCAAAGATTATCTTTTGTGAAATTGCATTACGTGAACTTACAACAATTGTCTAGGGTGCTTATCATGGTGTATAATATACATTCATTAGATAATGCACCAGCAAAGATATTGGTACGTACATCCTTTTTTGAATTAACAGTACTTGAAGATGTATTATTTGGTTAAGGTCTTAAACGGCATACTAATTTCATTGATTGTTAAAATGATAAATTTAAATTTTTTTATCAACCATATTTTTATTTATTTTAACATAAAATTCAATATTATAATGTAGTTTATATTTTTCTTGTACATTCAAATATGTTTTAGTTATTGAATTAACCAAATTTAAATATGAATTATTAATCAATTCTGTCTTTTAAAAATTTTAAGATTATTCATTAAATACATAAAATAAAAATCAAAATTTGATCAAGCAACTAACAGAAGTTTTATTGCTTCATCTAAACTTGCACATTATCGTATTTTATTTAAGAGAAATGTCTTTACATTAATCTCTCTAACATCATTAATTTATAACAAAATTTTTAAGTAATCTATAACACCTAACAATTCCTTTAAAATAATTAATTTGATTACAATATCCTTTGTATTATCAATATATGGTATAATTGGTATACCATTTTCAATTTAGAAAGCATAAGAATAAGCAGCATTATCGATCAAAACTATATCTTTTAAATCTCTATTTATTATTCGTAAATCCTTAACATAGATTCCTTATGAAGTTTATATGCAATTCTCTCTATAAAGTCGGTGAGATACCCATTTCCGAGATGGATCAAGCTTGTCAATTATTTGATCAGCGTATAATTAATGAGAAGCTGTAAATATAATAATTTCAAAATGCTTTGAGCATTCTTATAAAAATTACTATGCAAATGGTCTAACACTTATCCCTGCCTAATTAATATATTTAAGCATACTTCATGAACTTATCCATTTGGCATTTAGATCGGTATTTTAAAATCATATTTCATTTATTATTATTCATTACAATGCATCAAAGTTTCATCTAAATCTAAAACAAGAGTTTTCTAATTTTCTATTGAATTTAATTTATTTTTTACTCATTTTTTATAACTGTAGCATTTTTGCCTCTAATTTATTCTAATCTGGTTATTACATTTATTTGCTTAATTACAAACTATGAAATTGCTGAACAAAATGATTTATATACATTTAAGCATATAATCCTTCTAAGTTTAATCCTTTTAAATAATTTCTTAAATTATCCATATAATATATTCCCAAATTTATCTAATTAAATTAATTAAATTGAGATTCCTCAGAAACCTAAGACTCCTCTTATAACCATTCAAATGACTCAGTTCTCTTTACTCTTAATGCTTTCAATTCTCGATTGAACTCATATACTTGGCATTAAGAATCACCATCTTATTATTAATGATAATTGGCCTTTCTTAATTTATTTGCTCTTTGTGATGTCTTCAATATATCTTATGATTCTTTTTATTTCAATTAACTATTATTAAGTGAAGCGTCTTTAATAACTCTTCTTGTTGGTTAGTTTTTAGAAGTTCCTGAGTTACTAAAGAAAGAATACTTCAAACCACTATATTATTTTATCGGTGATTAACATTCTATTTCCATATTTTCTTCTTATTTTTGTTAAATCATCAGATTAGGACTCTTAGCTAATTATCAATAATTTCCACATACCTCTGATTCAAAATTACTCCTTCCACTTTTATTAGACATTTTTGATGTATCTCTATTTGGTAATAATAGCTTTTCTAATGATTTTTAACACTCTTACATTAATAAGGATTTACTAATCCAAGACAATCTTTTGGTGTGCTCCTTCCTTTTCTTTAGAAGCTGCTCTCTTATGTCATTTAATTGATATTTGGGGAATTTGTGTAGATTTTAGGAGGTGATGGTTTACGACTGCTACCCAATATATTGTCCTTTGAAATATCATTAGAATGGAACTTAGAACTTCGTCTTGATCTCATTTAATTATATTACCCTGAATATTTGATATAAAATTTTAATATAAATATGAAATAATTGATATTCATATTAATATTAATAATTTTAGTCATTAAATATAACTGTTATTATGCATTTCATCCTAACATTAAATAAAAAGTTCATTTCTCACTATTAATTTATAATAATTATAAAATTGAACTCTTATTAAAAAAATAGAAACTAAACTGAAAGTAAAAAAAGTAGATTCAAATCAAAATTGTACTTAATAGTTATAAAAAATAAAAATACTTTAATTTAAGATGATTTATTCAAATTAATACTTCAAGTAATATGTACCTAGTAAGTAAAATCATAATATATATTTTATTTCTAAATAATATATTTTTACCTCATTCATTATATTACTAATTATAATTAAAATCTAATTCGATTTATAAATTATGCTAAAAGATCTAAATAAAAATGTAAATATAATTGTTTATAATTTGTCTTGAGTTAATTAAAAATTATTAAACTTTATATACAATGCTCTAGATGAATATATTATTCTTATTCCAACGGTTTTTTTATTTTTACTCCCAATACTTTAGAACCTCTAAAGGTTTAAGTAATCATCATTATTTTGATTCCAAATAAACGATATTTAAAAGTATTTAAAAACAAAATGATTATTATTACTATTATCAATAATATAAAAATACAAAATTCCTTAATTTTTCTATTTAATAAATGGAAATTCTGTTTTATAAAATTAATTAAAAACTCTTTATAAAAATCATAACTTATTGTTATTCAAGTTCTTTAAACATATGAATAATTATTATTTCATCATTTCTTTTATAATATAAAATGATTAAATTATCTAAAAAAATAAATTATCTAAATATTAAGAAAACTGAGAAAGTAGTATTTGATAAACATCAAGAGTCTTAAATTCTATTTTTATTCTTCTACCAACGTACTAATTTACCTTCAGCCCATTCTCCTTCTTTTTCTATTCCATTAGATCCTAAATAGGTTCCAAATCCATGTTGTTTGTTATTTGACCACATACCTTTATATATCTTATATAAAATATAATGCTTACTCTTCCATCAGGCCATTCAAATTAACCAAACCCTTCTTTAACTCCATTCTAATAACTACCTAAATATTTTCTATTATCTGGCCATTTGAAAATCTAATATTGTAAAATAATTTTACCCCCTAACCATCCATTTAATTGTTCTTCCATTAGCCAATATAAATTCTACCGTCTTCCCACTTGAATTCACCTTCTCCTTCAATATTTCCATTAACAAATTCTCCAGTGTAGATTGATCCATCAGCCCATTTAAATGTTCCTTATCCATTCTTGAGCCCATTTTTATAATAACCCTCATATATAGATCCATCACACCATGTTTCAATACCATAACCATTTTTAGCATTATCTTCCCATTAACCATCATATTTGAGACCGTCAACGCTGTAAAGAGTTCCCTATATATTAAAATTACTATAACTTTTCCTGAAGTTTTATTATTTTTGAATTCTCCTTCATAGATGTCACCATCCACTTTGATTAGCCTACCTCTTCCTTGAAACATATTATAAGCCCAATATCCTTCATAATATTAACCATTAAGCCAATATTGTTTACCAAAACCATGCTTCATTCTCACAAAAATATTATTAAAAGTACCCATTTTTCCACTGTCCTTAATAAATGCAACCATCATCCAATTGATGGATCTAAAAATTAAATTAGTTCTCTTCTTCCTTATCATAATTAAATGATGAATATTATTATAGAATCTTTAAATTAAAAGTAAAGTGTCATATTACCTTATTCACTCTATTAACTAAATAATCAGGTACTTTATCCAATTTTTAAAACTTTTCTATATACAAATATTCCAATTTAGTGATCTAAGATGGTTTAGTGTCTTAAAATGGGGCAGAGTCATTGAAACTCAAATCATTTGAGTAATATTTCTATTCCTTCATTAAAATTTTTTTTTGTTTCAATTTTTAGATTAATTCCTAATATCTTTTTCTTACCAAATACCCTCTGACGCAAGCTTATGTAGATTTAGATCAATTACCTTGTATAAGTTTAATTTGATTAATGTAGTTGAGATCTCCTTCAGAAATAATTGTATTTTGAATCTAAGTTTACAAAATAATTTGGCATTTCTTTTCTTACTCTTAATACCCTAAACAGCATTATCCCATTGTATAAAAAGTATTAACTTTCAATAATAATTATATTTATTAAAATAAAAACATAGGTTTATGTATTATTATTCAAGTTGTTGGTTCATAACAGTGAAAATTATTCGAGATTCTTTCTTTTTTTAATTTTTCTAATGTAAATGTATTAAATTAATAATTATTAATAAATATGAAAAACTAAGTAACAAAGAGTGTCTCTCATTCTGCCATACCAAAACCAGAAAAATCTCAAACTCATAAAACTCCTGAAAAGCATGGAATTCCAAGAAACGTTAATTATTATAGCCATTTTTTAGCAGAACCATACATTACAGAAAAAGATATAGAGTTTGTGCTTCAGTTAAGAAACATGGATAATGTAAATTTCTTGTATGACAATAGGCAGAAATGACATCAAAGTTAGCTCGAATACCTAATCAAGTTTTTACAAGAGGAGATCAAAAAATTGAGTCTTAAAAAGTAAAACATCTTTCTAGAGATATCAATTACACTGAAAATTCTTCATAGATTTTACATTTAATAAAAGGTAGAATAGGCCCGACACCCCATTTAAGTTAAGCAGAATTTGAAACTGGTCTTCGATCTTATGCCAGAACTGATAAAAGTCTTGTTGAGAAAGAACGCAATTGGACTACTGTTCCAAAAACTAAAAGAAAAGATATTTTTCCTGAATTTTTACCAAATTATAAGGAAGAGATGTAAAAAAGAAAGTCTCTCAGCATTACTGGAAATAAATTAGCAAAACTAACATATAGTGGTAATTATAAATCATAAAAATATAAAGCTTTTGATCCGGATACACACTATCCTCCCTATTCAATCAAATTTAATGAGAAAAATATTTAGCATGTCAGACATATGTTCGTGCCAGGGGTTAAAATGTCAACTGTATAATGGCAAGAAGGTTTAAGACCTTTAGTATAAATAAAAAGATAGAAAAAAGAAAAAGAAAAAAAATGATTTGTTATAAATTTTGATTACATCAAGCTTATTATATAATCAGAATAATAAATGATAATAGAAGAATATAAATATTTATGATTAAAACTTAAAAATAAACTAAGACAAATAGAGATTATACAATAACTAAAATTAGATTAATTTCTTTGTTCAAAACAGATTTTTTTGGTATGTGAGGTTTTAGTATCAGAAAATAAGCATTTTGATTATTTATTAAATTAAGAAGGAAATAAGTCATGATTTTTTGTATAATTATATTGCTTTGGAGTATTTAATTATGTTTATAAAGAGAGGATTAAAATTTTTAATAATTTATATTTGAGTTTTATAATTATCAAAATTTGAGAATGGGAAATATATGCGATTTTATGAAAACAGAAAAAAAGGAATTTCAAAGTTCTCTGAATTAATAGACTGTATTGCAACCAATTTAAGAATGTATGCTGTTTATTAAGACTCAGAGGAATTAGCGATAAAATCAAGTAAGACTTTGGATAATTCCACATCGTTTATGCCTGAACAAAATCAAAAGCGAGTAGGCTTGGAAGATTTCATTATGTTAGCTACAGTTGGCAAAGTATCAGTTAAATTAATTAGGGTGCCTTTGGAAAAGTGTATAAAGTTAAAAAAAAGGACAATTAAAAAATATATGCTATAAAATGCATCAATAAGAAACTGATATTTGATAGTAAATTAGAATCAAATGCATTATTGGAGAAAAATGTCTTAAAATAAAGCAAACATCCATTTATTGTATAGTTAAAATATTCCTTCTAAACCCCAACTAAATTATATTTAGTTATGGAATACATCAATGGAGGGGAATTCTTTAAAATCCTTATGAAAACAAAAGGTTTACCAGAGTCTATTGTTGCTTTTGTTGCAGCTGAAGTTGTTTTAGCTTTGGAATATTTGAATTATTAGTTGAAAGTTATATATAGGGATTTGAAACCAGAAAATATCTTACTTACAACAACAGGACATGTTAAATTAACAGATTTTGGTTTAGCTACTTTAAGAAAAGATGAAAATGTTAAAAATTATACTGTAAATATTGATAATTATATAAGTTAGCTGGAACCCCTGAATATTTAGCTCCAGAAATCATAAACAAGAAAGGCCATTCTTTTGAAGTTGATTTATGGACATTAGGCATCTTAATATACGAAATGATAAATGGATATCCGCCTTTTACAGTACAAGACAGAAACACTTAAAAAATTCTATAATTAATTCTACAAAATAAGCCGAATTATCCATCAATAATGAGTGATGAAGCTAAAAATTTAGTTTAAAGTTTGCTAAAAGATAATCCAAAGGAAAGAATCGGAGCTTAAATAGTAATTTTTTTTTCTATATTTTAAAGGGATACCAAGAAATAAAATACCACCCTTTTTTTGCAAATATTAAATGGTCAGAACTATACAATTTGAATATTAAATCTCCTCTTAAGACCTTTGCAGAAACAAATGCTTCAAGGTCTGAAGGACTTAGAATGCCTAATATTCAGATTTAAGAGACCCCAAATCCTCCATAGCCAAATTTATAAGGGATTAGTTATGCAGGAGGTGATGATACATATAACTCTAAGAGACTGAATTGATATATCATTATATATTAATTTTTATTTATTGAATAAAAATGACCTGGGCATATCAACAGGGCTGATAAAAAAGAAGTTTTATAAACAAAAAAATTTATATATTTTAGCTTTAAGTATATTAAAACTGTTGAGATGGCAATATATGAGCAAAATATATTATTATCATTAATAAATTCTTATATGGCCGAAACTTAAAAGCGAACAGCTTAAGAGGAAACACTAGAAAAAGGACCATTTGGATTGTTGACAATTACTGTGAGTCACAACACTCAGGTGTTAATAGAGCTAAGAAATAATAGAAAGCTTTTAGGAAGAGTTAAAGCTTTTGATAGACATATGAATATGGTACTTTTATTAATATCTAATCAATCAAGATACTGGAGAATGTTACTGAAATGTGGACAGAAATTCCAAAAGGAAACAAAGGTAAGAAAGCTCACGCTACAAATAAAGAAAGATTTATTCCAAAGATGTTTTTAAGAGGCGATTCAGTGATTTATATTTTAAGAAATCCAAAGTGATATAGTATTGAAATTATTAAAACCGCTATGAGATATTAATAAAGCGTTAGCAAAGTTGTTTTTTTAACTATTCTCCTTAATTGATAAATGACATAATTTTCCTAAAATAAATTAGTTTTACAAATTATTTAGTCTCATTGTTGACTGATTATGAAATGATATTTTCAGAAAGAAAACCCCAAAAATTAACTTTTTTCAAATAATATGATTATTATAATTTCGAGGCTGGACAGTTAAAATATTTTATTTATAAAGCATATCAATAAATTAGACATTTCATTTTTTTATTTATAAAGTCCAAATGAATTATTTTAATTTCATGAATATCAACTTTATCGTTAGAGGATTTGAAAATTATGTAAATTCATTAAACGATTTTAAGGTTTTTAATAATTTATACAACTTCTAATAAAAAAACATAATCATATATCAGTCTTTAAATCATATCAACTTAAAAATGTTATTTCTAAGATGTATGCTATAAACTACGAAAATGTAATTCTCCTAATAATAAATAAATTGATATTATTGAAACTTAAATATGAATATAATACATATTCTCTTTTTATTATCTTTGAAGAATCTAATATTCGCTTAATTGAATGTAAAATTAAATATCTACTCAAAGCTGTTTTAAAAATATTAATAAAAACTATGAAGACTTTGTTTTTAAACATTTTAATTCTGATTACTTAAGTATAAGGTTAATGTTCCACTTAATAATATGATGATGGGCTTGGAGGTTGTTTAAATTGTCTTGCTGAATGTGCAACATGTTCTAATGGAACAACTTGCGAGACTTGTTTATAAGGGTGGTATATATCTGGCAATTTATGTTTAACCTGTGATGCAAACTGTTTAGAATGCTTTTAAAGTTCTAATTATTGCACTAAGTGTGACATAAACTAAAATAAATATTTGGATACCGCAAGCAATATATGCGTATCATGTGATCCACCTAAATTTAAAAACTAATAACAATGTGTACAAAATTGTCCTTTATATATAAATTCAGTAGATAACACTTGTGTTAATATGTGTAACGAAAACTGTTTAACTTGTTAAATATATTATAATCATTGTTTGTCATGTGCATCAAATATGTATTTAAATGAATAAGTTAATACATGTCAATCAAATTGCGATCCTAATTNTTTATTCCAAAGATGTTTTTAAGAGGCGATTCAGTGATTTATATTTTAAGAAATCCAAAGTGATATAGTATTGAAATTATTAAAACCGCTATGAGATATTAATAAAGCGTTAGCAAAGTTGTTTTTTTAACTATTCTCCTTAATTGATAAATGACATAATTTTCCTAAAATAAATTAGTTTTACAAATTATTTAGTCTCATTGTTGACTGATTATGAAATGATATTTTCAGAAAGAAAACCCCAAAAATTAACTTTTTTCAAATAATATGATTATTATAATTTCGAGGCTGGACAGTTAAAATATTTTATTTATAAAGCATATCAATAAATTAGACATTTCATTTTTTTATTTATAAAGTCCAAATGAATTATTTTAATTTCATGAATATCAACTTTATCGTTAGAGGATTTGAAAATTATGTAAATTCATTAAACGATTTTAAGGTTTTTAATAATTTATACAACTTCTAATAAAAAAACATAATCATATATCAGTCTTTAAATCATATCAACTTAAAAATGTTATTTCTAAGATGTATGCTATAAACTACGAAAATGTAATTCTCCTAATAATAAATAAATTGATATTATTGAAACTTAAATATGAATATAATACATATTCTCTTTTTATTATCTTTGAAGAATCTAATATTCGCTTAATTGAATGTAAAATTAAATATCTACTCAAAGCTGTTTTAAAAATATTAATAAAAACTATGAAGACTTTGTTTTTAAACATTTTAATTCTGATTACTTAAGTATAAGGTTAATGTTCCACTTAATAATATGATGATGGGCTTGGAGGTTGTTTAAATTGTCTTGCTGAATGTGCAACATGTTCTAATGGAACAACTTGCGAGACTTGTTTATAAGGGTGGTATATATCTGGCAATTTATGTTTAACCTGTGATGCAAACTGTTTAGAATGCTTTTAAAGTTCTAATTATTGCACTAAGTGTGACATAAACTAAAATAAATATTTGGATACCGCAAGCAATATATGCGTATCATGTGATCCACCTAAATTTAAAAACTAATAACAATGTGTACAAAATTGTCCTTTATATATAAATTCAGTAGATAACACTTGTGTTAATATGTGTAACGAAAACTGTTTAACTTGTTAAATATATTATAATCATTGTTTGTCATGTGCATCAAATATGTATTTAAATGAATAAGTTAATACATGTCAATCAAATTGCGATCCTAATTGTGCTACTTGTTTTGAGAAAACAGTTTAATGTACTTCTTGTGATTCAGGAAATTATTTAAATTAATCAACTAATATTTGCTAATCCTCTTGTGATAGTAATTGTTTAACTTGTCAAACTACAACAACCCATTGTTTAACATGCGATTCAGGATTTTATTTAAATCAATCAACTAATATTTGCTAATCCAGTTGTGATAGTAATTGTTTAACTTGTCAAACTACAACAACCCATTGTTTAACATGCGATTCAGGATTTTATTTAAATTAATCAACTAATATTTGCTAATCCTCTTGTGATAGTAATTGTTTAACTTGTCAAACTACAACAACCCATTGTTTAACATGCGATTCAGGATTTTATTTAAATCAATCAACTAATATTTGCTAATCCAGTTGTGATAGTAATTGTTTAACTTGTCAAACTACAACAACCCATTGTTTAACATGCGATTCAGGATTTTATTTAAATTAATCAACTAATATTTGCTAATCCTCTTGTGATAGTAATTGTTTAACTTGTCAAACTACAACAACCCATTGTTTAACATGCGATTCAGGATTTTATTTAAATCAATCAACTAATATTTGCTAATCCAGTTGTGATAGTAATTGTTTAACTTGTCAAACTACAACAACCCATTGTTTAACATGCGATTCAGGATTTTATTTAAATTAATCAACTAATATTTGCTAATCCTCTTGTGATAGTAATTGTTTAACTTGTCAAACTACAACAACCCATTGTTTAACATGCGATTCAGGATTTTATTTAAATCAATCAACTAATATTTGCTAATCCAGTTGTGATAGTAATTGTTTAACTTGTCAAACTACAACAACCCATTGTTTAACATGCGATTCAGGATTTTATTTAAATTAATCAACTAATATTTGCTAATCCTCTTGTGATAGTAATTGTTTAACTTGTCAAACTACAACAACCCATTGTTTAACATGCGATTCAGGATTTTATTTAAATCAATCAACTAATATTTGCTAATCCAGTTGTGATAGTAATTGTTTAACTTGTCAAACTACAACAACCCATTGTTTAACATGCGATTCAGGATTTTATTTAAATTAATCAACTAATATTTGCTAATCCTCTTGTGATAGTAATTGTTTAACTTGTCAAACTACAACAACCCATTGTTTAACATGCGATTCAGGATTTTATTTAAATCAATCAACTAATATTTGCTAATCCAGTTGTGATAGTAATTGTTTAACTTGTCAAACTACAACAACCCATTGTTTAACATGCGATTCAGGATTTTATTTAAATTAATCAACTAATATTTGCTAATCCTCTTGTGATAGTAATTGTTTAACTTGTCAAACTACAACAACCCATTGTTTAACATGCGATTCAGGATTTTATTTAAATCAATCAACTAATATTTGCTAATCCAGTTGTGATAGTAATTGTTTAACTTGTCAAACTACAACAACCCATTGTTTAACATGCGATTCAGGATTTTATTTAAATTAATCAACTAATATTTGCTAATCCTCTTGTGATAGTAATTGTTTAACTTGTCAAACTACAACAACCCATTGTTTAACATGCGATTCAGGATTTTATTTAAATCAATCAACTAATATTTGCTAATCCAGTTGTGATAGTAATTGTTAATAATGTTCAGTTACAACTACTCATTGCACACACTGCTATTAAGATTATGGAGTGGATAATATTACGAATAAATGTGTTCTTGTTTGTGACCCAAATTGTTTAACCTGCATAACAACTGTAAATAATTGTTTAACATGTTATCCTGGATTTTTCTTAAATGAAATTACACATTAATGTGAATCCTCTTGTGATAATAATTGTTCTACTTGTATTGATACAACTACTCATTGCTAAACATGTCACTCCGGATAATACTTAAGCATCTTGACAAACTAGTGTTTTTCTTCATGTGATGTAAATTGTTTAACCTGCGAGACTACAACAACGCATTGTTTAACTTGCAATCCTAGTATGTATTTAAATCTAATAACATCCTAATGTTAACCTAACTGTGATATTAATTGTTAAACTTGTTACATAGAATCAACTCATTGTTTAACTTGCCCACTTAGTATGTATTTAAATTAATCAAATAACTAATGCTAAGTATCATGTGATTCTAATTGCTTGACATGCTAAGATACTACAACTTTCTGTTTAACTTGTTAAAATGGATTTTATTTAAATTAAACAAATCATCAATGTTAATCTACTTGTGATAATAATTGCTTAAGTTGCTAAACAATAACGACGCATTGTTTAACCTGCATTGCTGGAATGTATCTAAATTAATTAAGTCATGAATGCTAATCAACCTGCGATGTTAATTGTTTAACATGCTAAACAACTACAACCTATTGCTTGACTTGTGATATTAACATGTATATGATTGTAGCTTCTAATTCATGTCAATCTACTTGTGATACAAATTGCCTAACTTGTTAAACTACAACTACACATTGTTTAACGTGTGATGTAGGATCATATTTAAATGTATCAAATAATCAATGTTAATCTACTTGTGATTCAAATTGTGCAACATGTTAGACTTTAACAACACATTGTTTAACATGTACAGTTGGAATGTATTTAAATCAAGCAACAAATATTTGTC